TAAGCTAATGAGTTGGTATTTGGACAAAATTCAGGACAACAATGTGTTGCAATGAGTTTATGCTCTTTGATTTACAATAACAAACAAGGAAGCAATTGAACATTAATATTGCTTCAATTCACTGATTTCTGACAACCGTCTCCCCCTGGGTGAACATTTGGCAACAAACTATGACTTGGTACCAATAGTAGATAAAAAATTCCCTTCTCCATGCAGTTAAAGGCAAATACATTACCTACTCAGGGTTCGGAAAAGCCTTGAAAGTCCTTGAAGATGTTTGAATTTAAAAATAAAAATTCAAGGCCTTGAAAGTACTTGAATTTGAGGACCAGGGCTTGATTTTTGTAATGTTTTCTGTTAAGTAATTTTCAAGTTGAAAATTATAGTACTTTCATGGAAAAGTTGAGAAATGATATTAAATAATTACATGATTGCTTATGCAAACCTTTCCAAAAGTGGTCTTTCAATTTTCTAAAAAAGTGGCCTTCAAATTCATTGAAAAGTCCTTGAATTTCAACCTTTGGCATCTGTAGGAACCTACTCCTATATGGAAATGTATTAGCTTGATTGTTGTCTAGCACCATAACATTTCTTACACCCCAGCAGACAAAAATAAACACAAGTAGACTTATTCATGACCGGCAATGACGAAATTGCGTGACGACAGTAACAATGGCAATATGGCAGTGCCTTAAGATAACTCCAGATGTGCGATATATATTGAAAGCCCGAGTTCACGCAGCTATGCGTCTAGTTCCTTGTCTAAATTATGACGTTGCTCCACATAAATGCGGAAAAATGGAGTCGGTTACCTTCCGAGTGTTGAACTAGGCTCTTTTTGGGATGAGAAACACAAAGGCTCAAATAATTTTTGGATTGGCCGGATATAATCTTAACTATATGCCATACATTAAACTTCTATTGAGTACAACTTAGATTATGTCTGAAGCATACAGCCGAGATCAATGTTTGTGCTTAGCGACTCGTTCATTAGGCCGGAGTGACTGATGATCACTTGAAAATGACAATGCCGTCCGGTGATAGATGATAAAAGTCTTTGTATTACTGCAGTTAAAAAATCACTCATTTCTTACAGACCTAGCTGTTATCTTATCGAACGCTGTCGTCATAAAGGTGCTCATTTGTTTCTACTAATTTTCACAAAAAATGCGTCTCCTGTCTTGCCGGCAACAGTGGGCCATTCACTCCACAATCTTTTTTTTTATTGCTGCTTGCTTTTGCGTGACACTCTCTTCTATGTTTGGTGCCCCCTTGGAGACAATATGCGCTTTCATCACAAAAGAACATGATCATGCAATTACGTCAAGTGTTATTCAACTGAAATAAGACAGTAACCAAAAGAAACAAACAAAACATTCCACAAGATGTAATTGTCATAACACTAATCAGCGATTTCAGACCTCCCGGAACAGTTGCAGGCATAATAGTAACTACCAAAATTTTGGCAGGGTTAAAAAGGTTTGAAGAAAGAAGATACTTGAGCTATGATATGAAAATACATAAGGTTCCCAAAAATATTGCTTTCACAGAGTTACCGAACACGAACTACTGATTGGCCATCGAATCACCGAGAAAAAGTGCGAAACATTCAAATAATCATTGAACACGTTCGTAGTTATCGGATGAAGGAGTTCCATGGAAACATAGGAAAAACACACCAGACGAAAACATAGAAAATATTATGTATCGTTTTTGAAGTATGAATTTTTGAAGAAGCACCACGAACTGTTTATTTGCAAGAACTACAACCAAAATCGATGTCATACACCATTTTCTGCTCTGGTTTTATGTATGTCCCGTGCCATTTCGAACCTTCTGGCAGTACTGAATAATTCAGGGCAGAGAGTTTAAGGAAATACAGATGGCACAATATGCAGTTACACAGAAGTTAAGCCAAGAAATAATTTATACTTTACCGACTTGTGATAAAAGGAACCCATGACAAGGCATTATTATATACCACACGATCATGAATCATAACTTCACCAACCTTAGTTGCAAATTTTGAGTTGATTTCCTTTATCCAGTAAGTTTAAAGATTTCTACAATGTTCTGCAAAATATAAAAACACGCAATTTATTCCTTAACATAATTCGTAACCATCGTTCAACATTGGCTACTCCACAAAGAATGCCCCTACCATCACAGCAATGGTTACGAATGTTCTTGTTAATGTAATTCCCTGATGAGTGAGCAATCGTGGGATGAAAGAGTAGTCTTTGTATTTTTCTAACTTAACAGATGTTGCGCTCTACTTTTATGTATCGAGCACTGCAATACGGAAAAATCGAAACGTAGACTTCTACGAAAATCAAGTCACACTTTATATATATATATATATATCTTATTAACCAAGCGCGAGGGCCGTACTGGGAGAATATCGGCCCGAGGTCTTGACAGTACGGACCGAGCGCAGCGAGGTCCGTACAAAAAAGACCGAGGGCCGATATTCTTCCAGTACGGTCCCGAGCAAGCTTGGTTAATAAGAGATTTATTATACGACTGAAGTTCAAAGGGACACAAGTGCGGTATCATTCGGGACCATTCGGGACAGTGCCCGGTCCAATACTGAGAGAATATTGACCGGCAATAGAGCATTTTGATTGGTTGATTTTAGTTATTGGCCCTCTGACTGCCCGAGTCGTGTAATAAC